ATGTATGACATGGTGTGTGAGCTATGTGGTGTGAACTCGGTGGTTTGGTCTACGCGGTGAAATATATGTGGTGCCAGCTTTGTTGTGTACACTATGACAAGCAACATGTGTGGTCTGAGCTGAGCTGTGTAAGCTGTGTAGCGTGTGTCTGCTATGTGGTGAAGCTGCGCAATGTGAGCTATGTGATGGGAGTTATGCGGTGCAAGCTCTCCAGTGTGCACTACGTGGTCTGAGCTCCGACGTGTAAAATGTGTGGGATAGATGGCGCGTGAGATAAGTGATGACAGCTATGTGACTTGTGTGAGAGACGCGGGGTAAGATGTGCAGCGCAAGCTATGCGGTGTACACTGTGTGGCGCGAGCTGCTATCAGGGGTAGGGCGTGCAGGCTACGGCCAAGTCGGGCCTGGAGGTAGGGCGTGCAGGCTACGGCTAAGTCGGGCTGGTCCCTCTACAGGGGGAATATTCAGAAATAGTCGAAACATAGTCTGGGGACTATGTCTTGATTAGTTTTGGGCATCTTTTGACTATTTCTTGAATATGCTTTACTTTTCGTCCAGAATCCCCCTGTAAAGGGGACAGGCCCGACCTAAGGAGGTGCAACCGTGTGGCGTGAGCTGTGCGGTGCAGACTACGTGGCGCCCACGAGGCGCCCACGGGGCGCCCACGAGGGCGGGCCGAGGCGAGACCTCGGCGAGCTCCCCCCCCCCAGCGCGAGGCGCCCCCGAGGCGCCCACGAGGCGGGCCAAGGCGAGACCTCGGCGCACTCCCCCCGCCCCAGCGCAAGGCGCCCACGAGGCGCCCACGGGCCGGCACCGAGCGAGACCTCGGCGCACTCCCCCTCCCCCCCCCCGGCGCGAGGCGCCCCCGAGGCGCCCGCCGGCCGGGCGCTCCGCCCACGACCCGGGCGTGTCCGTGCAGTCCCTTAAGGCCTAGAAGTAAGCAGCCCGAAGTGGAAGCACTGCTTGGGCTGGGAAAGCTCCACACGCACACACGCACACACACACACACACACACACATCTCTCCAGGTGACAAACACATACACATACATACACGCACATACACACACATACATACATACAACATCTTGGGTTGGGAAAACTCCACACACACCTCTCCAGGTGGCAAAATAAATGTGGGCGCAGATCCAGCCGTGGCGACGAGGAGCCAGCCAGAGCCCCGAAGAGGGCGAAAAAGCCGCACGGCACCTCGATCATCGGACCTCGATCCTCACGCTTCAGACCTCCCGCTACCCTTCTCCGATGGAAGATTTCGTCACAGACAAATCGTCGAAGGCCCCCAGCACCGAAAACGGCTCCAGGGGGCTGACATATCGGCGAACAGGACGTCACAATCAAAAGAACCAGTCCTCGAACCTCGATCCCCCTCCTCCTCCTCCTCCTCCTCCTCCGCCTCCTCCTCTCGGGCACGTGCTACCATGGATTGGGGCCCCATGGATCTGACCGACGCGTCGGCACCAGACCCACGGAGCGGGGGAAGTCGGAGCCCGCTGATTCCGCATGGACACGGGGCCCGCCGCCGACCCTGGCGCAGTCGTCCCTGCTCTCGCTTCCTCTCCAGCCTCCTATCTGCCCTCGGTACGCTGCGCGGCGCCACCCCTCCCCCGCCCCCCCCTCGGCACCGCGGATGCCGCGTGGTCGGGGAGGGAAGCGGGGGAGGGCAGGCGCGCCCCTCGCGTCCCGACCCTCCGGCCCCGACCCTCGGCCCTCGATCCTCGCCGCTGGACCGTCGAACCCAGGCCCCCTTGCCCCGGCCCTCGGGCGTCGAACAGTCGCTCCTGGCAGAGCTCAGACCCCGCACCTCGATCCTCGCAGCCCGGGGCCCGCTCCACCCCCCTTCCCCCCTCCACGGTGCCCGTGCCCGGCTCCTCTCCGTCGCGGGGAGGGGCCCGCGAGGGAAGGGCGCCGCGCGCCTTGGACTCCACCTTCTCCTCGCGGTCGGCCTTGGCCTCGAGGAGGGAAGAGGGCGAGAGCGGGGAGGAAGGAAGCGGGCCCTGCTCAGCCGCGGCCATCCTCCTTCGGTAGACCTCCGAGACCAGGTTCATATGGGGTCACAGTGGAGCTCCTGCCTCCTCCTCCCTGCTCCTCCCTCCTCCTCCCTCCTCCTTGTTCCTCCCCCTGCGCCCCCCCCAGCTCGGACGTGAGCTCAGGACCTCAAGGATCCAAGTTGCTTACAGAGCTTTGGGACCTGAGGGGCGCTTCTCGTCGCCACAGCTGGATTCAACGCGCCCATGGAAGGGTCCACAGAACGATCTCATGAAAGGAGGATGTAGGAGAGAGGAGGATGGACGAGGGACGAGGGAAAAAGTGTGTGTGTGTGTGTCTGTGTCTGTGTCTGTGTCTGTGTCTGTGTCTGTGTCTGTGTCTGTGTCTGTGTCTGTGTCTGTGTCTGTGTCTGTGTCTGTGTCTGTGTCTGTGTGTGTGAATTTGTGTGTTTGTGTGTCTGTGTCTGTGTGTGTGTGCGTGTGTGTGTGTGAGTGC